AGGAGCCATGGCAGCTCCTGGCTCCCGGCAGAGCAGCTTGGGGCTCTCTGGAGAGGTGGTAGAGGCACTCTAGCCAGGGGATGGCTACTGATTGGAGGCAGAGCTGCCTGGGGCTGCTCGAGTGGGTGACTGAGCTCTGGCAGCCCCAGGCTCCCAGCACAACAGTCCAGAGGTTGCCAGGGGCTGCCGGGGGCTCCCTGGGGCAGTGGCACAGGCACCCTATCCAGAGCGTGGCTGCTGATTGGGGGCAGAACTGCCTGGGGCTGAGCTTCCTGAGGCTGTACAACCAGGTGAAGGAGCCATGGCAGCTCCTGGCTCTCAGCAGAGCAGTCCGGCGGCTGTGGTGGTGCTGCAGGGCCAGAGCTGGGGGTGCAGCAGCTGCTCTGTTGCCTCAGAGGAGGCAGCTTCCCCTGTGGTGCTCGGGGCTGGGGTGCCTGTCTAACTCTGCCCCCTGAGGACGCGGGGGGCTGGGGGGCACTGGCTGTAGTGGTGGGGAGCTTTTTCTGTAATCGACGCTTTGCTGGCCGGGGCTTCTTCAGGGAACAGCCTTCGACCATCAGATTTATCCCCACAGCCGGATGCAGGGGCACAGCTGCCTGCAGGGAGACAGAGCAGGGAGTGGGGACTTGTGGTGCCTGAGGGGGTACCTGCCCCCCCAGCCCCCAGCCTACCTCCTTGTAGATGAGCTCAAAGGCACCAATGGGGCAGCTGGGGTCGTCCTTGCGGTCGAGCACGAGGCGCAGCGTGTCCCGCTGCACGTTGGCGCAGAGCCGTCGGGTCACGGCCGAGGAGGGGCTCATGGTGGGGCAGGCGTTGATCTCCAGCAGCCAAGGCTGGCAGTCCTCCCCCACGAGAAAGTCGGCCCCAAAGAGCTCAAAGCTGCCCTTGCGGAAGCCCATGTGGTTGTGGGCACAGCGCAGGGAGTTCAGGATCGCTGCCTTCATGCCAGGCACCATCAGCTGGTGCCAAGCATCCGCCCGCCCCAGCCGTGCCAGGTACGCCTGGAACTGCCTGCTGGACCAGACCCTGCTGGGGGGCACGCGGGGGTCCTGCTGAGGTGATGTCTTGTACCGCTTCTGGACGGAGACGTTGCAGAGGTGCCTGGAACTGGGGCAAGGAGAGCGGGGCTGGGTCAGTGGGTGCCGAGGTGCCGGCGTGTGGGGAGCCGGGGTAGGGGGCACTCACGGCTCCAGGTGGCGCAGGGAGAAGGGCTGGGAGCAGAAGCGCAGGTAGCAGTCTTGATAGAACCAGACGGTCAGGGGATTGCCATCGGTCACCAGGAACCACTGCCGAATGTCGAACTTGGTGCCGAAGATGGTGAGCGGCCGCTCCACGTACTTCTGGACCACCCACTCGCGCACCCGCGCCGAGGGGTTCGTGCAGCCCCGCGCCAGCTGCAGCACCTCCTCCAGCCGCGTCGCGCAGACGATCCCTGGGCGACACAGAGATGGTGAGGCCCTTTCTCAATGGGGAGCCTGTGTGTGCCCCGTGCTTCCCCCAGCCTTACCCCTGCCTCGGGATTTGGCGCTGGGCTTGAGGATCCAGACGTTGAGGTCGCCCTCTATGCTGAACTGCGGCAGCTGCTCCGCCAGGCGCCGCAGCAGGTCCCGGCACCGCTCCCGCTGTGCCCCGCTCAGCGCCAGCCCGGCCCCCTCACTGCGGGGGGACACGGGGGGCTCAGCACCAGCCCCTCCGCGGTGCCCCCCCCGGCCCCCACCCCGCTCAGCACTCACTGTGCCACGCGGTAGTAATCCTGCAGGAAGCAGTTCCAGTCGACGCACGTCCTGCAGGGCGATGGGGTCTTCCTGTCGATGTCCTGGTGCTCCAGGACACCGAGGTGCTGCTTGCAGACCTCCAGGGCATCCTCCGCCAGCCGGGAGGGAGTGGAGAGGGAGAACCCTGGTCTTTCTGTGGGTGGCATGGGGTGAGAGATGTGGCTCCTGTGCCAGCCTTGGGGCCAAAGCACAAAGTCTCCCTGTGGGATGGGTGGTAGTGGATACACGGGGATGGGGCAGGGGGCAGAACACCCATGAGGTGGGCTGTGGCCATAATGGTGTGGGGGATCCCAAGCCACAGCCAGGAGCAACTCAGCCCCCAGACACATCTCTAGCCCAGAGCTGTTACCCCCTGACCCAGCTTCATGCACTCACTGGGCCCCTTGTTGGATTTTGGGGGCTGCTCCATCCCCACCAGCCTGTCCCCAGCCTTCTCCAGAGCCAGTTTGAGTAGGCTGCGAGCTGCTGTCAGGCGGAAATCCTCTGCAAGAGGGAGACATCATCCCCTACCAGTCCTGCATGGCACAGGAAGATACTGGGAGCACGAGGGGCAACAGGAGGGGCATCAGGAGGGCAACAGCCACAAGCTCACCAATGAAAGCTTCCCGCTCCTCTCTGGTCCCCAGCCGGTAGCACCGGGGGAAAAAGGTGTTGGGGTCGGCTTGCTCGAACCAGGGCAGGTTTTGCAGGCTGAGGCACAGCCCCTCCTGTTAAGAGAAGGTTGTCAATCCTTGCTGCACACCCCCGTTCCTTGTGTTGCCCCTCTCCAAGGCTTCCGGGCTCCCACCTTGGTGGTGAGGGCGTGCACCCAGTGATAGCGGTTCACCACCTCGATCCTCTGCAGCAGCTCATGGTCAATGGAGCTGAGGCGGGTGGTCCAGAGGAAGTTTGGCACCTGGTCCCGCACCAGGTAGGACTGTGGGAGGGAAGTGGCCAGGGTGAGACAGGGAGGCCCATCCTATTATTGTCCCTTGCCCCAGGCTGTGCCCTGCACCTGGGGGTCCCAGGGGAAGGGTATGGGGGGCTGAGGCAGAGCTCAGCCCCAGCCCTATCAGCTAACCATGAGGTCATGGATTTTGTCAGAGTCCTCATCCTCTTCCTCCTCCACCTCCTCATCGTGTGGCCATGGGTAGTGGCGGGGCTCTGTGGTCCCCAGGGAAGGTTGTGCCCCACCTCGCGGGTTCAGCACTTCCTCCCCCTGCTCATCACCATCATCACTTGGTTCTGTCTCCAGCTGCTGTTTCTTTTGGCCACCAAGCTGCCGCTTCAGCTGTCTGCCCTCGCGGGGGAGCTTCCTCTCCACCCAGCCCCGAGCCCGCAGCAGGGAGCGGATGACGGGGTAGGGGCCCTTCACCGCGAAGATCTTCTTCTCCTGCGCACAAACCAGAGAACTCAGCCTGCCCCATCCTGGTCCCTCCAGCTCAGCTCTCCTGAGCCAGAAATGCCCAAATGCGAGTGCGTGGCGTTTTGAGGGGAGTGAAATCAGACCCCTCACCTTAATGGCCTTCTCCACACGCCGCTTGGCTCTCCTGAGCAGCGCAGCCTCAACCGAGCGCTGGCGCCCATTGTGGTGGCCGGTGGTAGCAGCTGCCACCTGCCCTGTGAGGAGAGCCCTGTCGGAGCCTACAGGCCCTGCTGGGCACGCAGGGAGGGGCAGAAGATCCTGACCTGTCTGCCTCGCCCTGGCTGAGCTTGGGGCCCCTGACATGGCATTCCCCGACCGGCCGAGCTTCACCCTTGCGTCCCAGCTGCACTGCCCAGCCCCAGGATGCCCCTCTGTGCCCCTGTCCCCAGCCTGCTGTCCCTGGGGGTGGCAGGGGTGTCACTTGCTCAAGCGCTGCCCCTGGCTGTGGGGCTGTGGGCCTGCAGGGCTGCTCTCTCTGTGATACTGTCCCATGGCACCCTGATGGTGAGGGGAGCTGTGGGTGGCTTTGAGTCTTCCAGGCCAAGCAGATCGTCCTATTCCCTATCCTATTCCCTGGTCCCACTGGTGTCCAGTGCAGGACATGGCCTCCCAGCCCCAGCACCACTGTGATGTCACAGCCCCAGCCTCCAGGAGGAGCAGGTGGTGCATCCTCCTTGGGGGTTGGAGTGGATGATCTCCAGAGGTCCCTCCCAACCCTAACAATTCTGTGACTCTGCAGGCAGCTCAAAGCAGCCTCAAAGCCAAAAGTCCTGGTTTCTGTGGGGGGCTTTTTACTACCCCGAGAGCTGCTGGAGAAGCAACACAGCAAAGCACAGACAGTCCAGGAGGTTCCCTGAAAGCTCTGACGATCATTTCCTGACACAGGTAGTGGAGAATCCTACAAGGAATGGTGTGCTGCTTGACCCCATACTAACAATCAGGAAGAGATGTGAAGGCTTTGAACTCTCCTGGCTAATCTCCATGACAGAACTCTGCCAGAAACACAGTTCTACCCTACAGGATGAGTTATAATTTCTGACTGTGCGGCTTGATTTTATTTTGATGGCTACTCTTTAGCAAATTGCCCCTTTGCCTCTCCTTTCAGAGATGCTGTTGTATTTACAATTCTTCATGGGCTCCTTGCCCACGCTGCCTTCTACGACTTAAGCACTACTATTTTGTTATTTACACTCAGCTGCAGCCAGCAGAAGTTTTATGCTGACAGACAAAAATCATACACTGATATTAAGAGTTCCAAGAGAGCTGAAACTTGAAATGGTATCTCAGTTGCCTGTAAAGTCTTTATACTGAACTGTTAAAATGCGACATGTAGCAGGGTACTTTCTCTGTCTAACAGCTTGTCATAAACTACTCATGAACGACCACGTTCTTACAAATAATAGGGTCAGTAGTGGCATTTGGAAGTAGTATCTCTCTAGATACAGCTCCTTGCTTTGCATTTGCCTTGGTTATCTCCTAAATATCCCATCTGGATGTGCAGCTGGAGTTAAAAAGCCCTGGTTGTAAATTCTGAGCTTTCTGTCGCCTTTTTGCACACAACCAATTTCCTGTCTTAGCTAATTACTGAATTACGTCTTCATACCTATACATTGAAAGTAAAAGGGTAACGTATCTTCCAGGAAGAAGTTTTGCATTGGGATAAAAAATAGCCTTATAAAGCCAGACCTTTACAAAGGACACGTGTGTGTCGCAACAGCAGCTATTCCATGGAGTATGCTGAGCCAGCTCCAAGACATGAGGATAAACCTTTTACCAGACTAAGCCCTTAACAAAAGATCTTGTGTAAGTGACATATTCTATAGAGGAAAAGCTTGATATGCTTTTCTTTTATCGTAACCGAGACATATTTACTGAGCACCACATGATTCCTTCCCTGCAGAGGAGTAACCTTTTAGATCTTTGTCTCCTAAAAATACATGCTGAAGTAGCTTCTTCCAGCTGGTGGGCTTAATCCTTAAATTTTCTGTTAAAGAGCGTTGTAAAGCCTTCTAAGTGACCACAAATAGCAGCGCGTTCGCGGAGGAATTCTTGCTTTTTTACAAGCTCCAGTGTTGCAGCATCAGGGCTCCAGAGCTACAAAATAAAGATATCTGTAGTGAATTGGGATGTGAATTCTGCAACAGGAACATTAAGAAGGTACTGTGAGCCAAACTGAGCCGTGTTCTAGCATTCCTTTGCACTCTGAGACATAAGAGAGAACCAGCGTGGCCTCCCAGCAGAAGATGTGACAACAATTTGTGTACGAATAAGCAGGGCATTCTCTTGTCACTTCCAATCTACAATATGCCACGGGCTCAGATACAGATAATGTGGGAAAGATTTCAAGGTAATTATTTAAAATGACTGACTCAGGCCCACAGTCCTGAGAGTGAAAAATAGTAATTAGCTGTAGAGTCACAGGCAATGCAGCCTCAGTCCCCTGAGACCATTGCAGAAACCAGCACAAATCAGGGTTAGGGAAATGATAAACAAACTCCAAGCACAACTCCTCAGCCAGAAATGGTTTTCTTTTCCTTTTGAAGGAGAAAAAAAAATATTTAAAAAATTACTCTCTGCAATCATCTGTTTCTCAGTCATTTGTGAGGATTAACAGGTCCCTGACAGAGGAGTTATATTTCCAGTATTCTAACTCTAGGAAGTAAATATTTAGTGTACTGTGATCTGTCCAGTTCAGTAACTGTCATTGGCATAATTCATCATATGATAACTAATAAAGAAGGCAAGTTAGAAGGTGGTGCTCGTCCTATGTACAGACTCCTATCCTTTAAAAGTAAGAGTGTGAAAATCCACACCATGAATGTAGTTGCATTTATATTTTACTGTGGGTCCACTTTAACCCTGTTTTAAAATCTGATAAGAGCTTGTTTTCCACATTAATTTGTTTTATATAAATATATATGTATTTATATAAAACATATTCATGAACTCTTCCATTTACCTTTGTTCTGTGGCCACCTCCACAACTTGTGGCACATCATCTCAAAGGCAGATGAATTGTGAAGTCATTTCATTGTGAAGTCATGGATTGTTCTGGATTTCGATCTCAGCAAGGTCTACATTTAAATTAACGTGAAACTGCCCTCATGTTTTGCTACTGTACTTACTTTTCTGGGTTTGAAGCTGATGTCATCTTTGTTCCTCTCTTTTGTTACCAAGGGCTTCCGAGTACTGGCCTTTCGGGAACGCAGTGTCACTTCAGGAAGAGGTTTTTCTACAGCTGGCAGAGATACCTCTGGAGACTGGAAGAGAAGTCATCAGTTATACCAACACATCGTGCTCAGAAGCAAGACACACATCCTGCATCTTCTGAAGCTCTTCTGCAATTCCTTACTGTGAGTGGACTTTTCTTAATCTGTTCAGAATCTGTTTTTCTTAAAGCTGATATTATTTTTTAAAACCAAAAACTGCGAGGGCAAACATTTTTGAAAGGTAAAGAATTCCTCTCCTCCTTGGGCACCAAACCATTAACTGCTCTTTATGACTCACAAGACAATCACCCCCTACTGCTGGTGACTCCATCCTCTGGCAGGGGATAAATAAACAAGCCCCTACGGTCTTCCTCCTGCCTGTCAAAGCCCTGTGCTGTCCCTGGCATTCAAACCACTCTGAAAGGGGTGAACCAACATTTACTGGGCCATATTCATTACAGTGTGCAGGGCAGGACTGCTGAAGGACACTTCCAGCCATGCAGATAAATTGCATTTTCTGCCCAAATAACGTCCTGGGTGTGACTAACAAGTGCCACTGGTAAATCAGGAAGGTCCCATCCCCAGTGAGACAACCAGGACGTGGTCATGGAGGCTGATGTTGGCTCGGGAGCCGGGGCAGTGCTGAGGTACTCGAGGCTCCCCGCGGGGTGCAGGAAAAGCACCCAGAAATTCAACAGGCAAATGTCAGTGTGGGATTTGAGAAACAGGACTCAGGTTAGCAGTTGAAATGGGAAGTCAGAAAGCCTGATATCACCTCAGTGAATTCCATTAGCAGAATGAAAAGACTTTTTTATCCATTTGAAGGGCCTTGCTTTTATCTTGTGAAGAAACAGGTGCTCCCTTTAAGACATTATGTTACCAGTTGTTCAGTGTTTACCACAACAGAGCTGGATGATCATCAACTTCAGGAGGAGGGAAAAAGAACAGGAACTATCTTTCTGTGTCCTGTCAGCGATATAGGGAATAATTCTTATGTGGGTCTGGGGAAATCATGAAGTTTGTATAATTAGCAAGACAAAATTTTAATTGATGAACAAGTACTAGTACTGAGTAGAACAAGTACTGGCATCTGAAAATACTTTAACAAAGCAGCCTGATCTGTAGCTTTAGGGAGAAATGGGTGGCAAAGAAAGACAGAAGCACTCTACTAACTATTAGCAAATCAATCCTTTGTTACTATCTCTCATACCTCTTTTTTCTCTGGTGACTTTGGCTTCCCACCTTTTGCCGCCTTTGCTTCTTCTTCTGGTTCTGCCAAATTATCCAGAAGATTTTGGAGCAGATCAATTATTTTAGGATCGTCAAATACTTTGGCAATATCAAGAGCATTCTTTCCTGTAGTTAAAAACATAAATATCCCTATAAACCATGAAAATGAAATTTAGCACTTGTTATTGCAATTTTATAATGACAGTACAGTCAACCGAATTTAATTTGGCTACTATTTTATTAATTATTTTATTAATTCCATGTGCCAGCAGCGTGCCTGACATTGGTGTGAGGGCCAGCAGTCATCAGCATTACTTGCAGAAGTAAGACCTTGCAGAAACGAGCCTTGAAACCCAATATTGCAGGAATTCTTGGAGTAGTTGTTTTGTTCTTAATGTCCTGACATTTGCAGCTTAATATACTGGTCCTGCAGGTTGCCATTTTGATCTCTGAGATCGTTTAGCACTAGGAAAGGGCTGGCACAGTACAAGGTTAGGAATGCAGACCAAGTTATTGTAGCTGTCTCCTTCCTGTAGCTGTGGCAAGGGAAAGCCCCATGGTTTAAATGGGACTGAACACCTCCAGTGCTTAATAAAGGAAAAAAAACCCTCTCCTGGATTTGTGAGATCTGTGGCTGTAAATTATCTGTGAGAATGAACTGCTGTGTGAATCAGAACCCCCACATGGTGCCAGAAATAAGGAATATACATCCCTTCCATTAGCAGGGTTTCACCTGATGGCATTTTGGCAAGGGAAGTCTCACTGTGGGGAAATGTTTCTTCCTGTGTTGCAGCAAGAGCTGCAAATGGGATGCATGTTAACTGTTTAAATTACTGTGGAAACAGGGGAAATGACACTGAATGAGGGATCTGCTGTGAGGAGGCAACATTTCAGTATCAGTTCAGATTTGTTTTTCCAGGGAGTAATATTTATGTAGAGCAGCAGGGAATTTTTTAACCAGAGCTGTCTGTGCCTAAAAATAAATCATTTAAATGGGTGGCAGAGTATGCACCGGCCACAACTGAAATCTAATTTTCCCTCAAATAATAATAATAATTAGATAGAATGTTTTCATTAAAGCCACTTATAACTCTGTATGTATCTTCTGAGGAGCAACAGCCTCCTTAATTGGGTAATTAATTATGTTACTTTATTTTCTAGATGCATAAAACCCAGGAAAGCTGACTATTTACAGCACTGATTCCACACTGTAGAAAACTAATTGAACCTGTTACCTTCATCCTGATCCTCATAGCAATCCTAAATTCAGAATGCTTTTACAAAGTGTTCCCAGAACTCAGTGTTTTTAATACAGAAACAGCCTCTTTTGGAGACACTGATATTTACCATTGCTGTTTGTGATTTGGATGTTGGCACCTCTAGTGATTAAAAAGTAGACGATGTCCAGCCTGCAGGCCTCGATGGCTCTCATCAGTGGGGTGGTATTGCCTATTCCAAGGGCATCCACTGCTGCTCCAGCCTCCACCAGCACCTCAGCAATATCCAGGTGTCCGTTAGAGCAAGCGTGATGCAGAGGAGTCCACAGGAAATTGTCTGTCATGTTTACATCAGCCCTGCACAAGAGGAAGAGCAGTTGTGGCAGGTGAAGCTGTCTAATGGCTAAAATAACATCCCCAGCTCCAAGGACAATCCATGGGAACTGCCCACTGCAATGGCCTATTCCATGTCAGTGGCTGTTTTCATATTGCTACTCTGAAACCATTTGAGTGTCTGATACAGAGCTCCTCACGGGATATTAATTGTAGGAGTGTGTCGGGGTGGTGACTGTGTCCCACTCCAAGCCAGCAGTGTCCTCTAGGTAGGGGTTTTCACAGGTGCAGGAAAAACAACCGGCACTCAGACACCTCAGTCCTGTAAAATGCTGTTAGTGTTTGTGCTCCAGCTTCACTGGGAATGGCAGAGAGCAGATCAAGGAATTCAAAAAAGTGTGTTTCTGGGCCAAGAACAGGTGCTACGAAACGTGGCAACGCTGCCTGATGTGTGGATGTGCCGAGTTCATCTGCACAAGACGTTCAGCTCTCTCTTTGCTTTCCGTGTTGCTGCCCTCTGCCTGCTCCATTTCTGTTCACTGGCTTCTCCCTCTGGCAAATGGGTTACAGAAGCTCTGCCTCAGAAATCTGAGCATGGAGAACCTTCTCACTACTGAGTCACTGTAGTAGATCTGTCTCTGCTGCCAAATTAAACCCGGGATGCTCTGGAGGATGCAAGGGCTAGTTCAGGGGAGATATTTACAATATGCTGGCATGAATGGATGAAGGAGAAAAGCATTAACAGCCCCAGAGGTCCTGAACTGAGTTAAGGTCACTGTCCCACTTACTCTATGGACAAAAAGCTGCTGTCTTCCCAAAAGACAGGGAGGAAGGGAGAGGGAAAAAAACTTATAGGGGAAGCTGCTTCCAGGGGTAATTTTTTGCTCTTCAGGTCAGGTGATTAATATTGAAGTCTAGAAAAATGCACAGTTTCATCTGTTTTTCTTTCCTTGGTTAAATTTTTAATCTCTTTCAGAATTCTACCTTTGGCAAGATCTTATCACAGTAAATTCCCCTGACCCCTGACTTTTACCTCTGTTATCTTGCAGTTGCTAAACTATTGTGGTTTATTTGTATGCAGTCTCCCTTTCCTTTATATTTCTCATTAAGATAAGCTGTTCCAGTTATTCCACTTTCTCTCTCAACCCAACCTCCATGCCTGTACTCACACACTGTCTGCCCCTGAATCCTTTTTTCTGACTTCATTCTATCAGAAAAACTGATCAATGGGAACAGGCAGCACTGACTTAAAAATTCTTGTGTTTTCTCTGTTCAAGCAGTGAGTTTACCTTTAGCCCAAATTTCATTTACTTCTGAGTCTTTCTGGAGGAAGATAGAAAGTAGATACCACCAATTTGTGTTTAAACCTTGGAACTTTCTATAGTTCTGGAAAAAATGTTTTGTTTTCCACTCTGTATGTGTTTGTGATACTGTACTGAAAAGGTTGTATTGTAAAAAGGATTTGAATGCCCATGCCAAAGTGAAAGTCCATGCTGCTGAGGGATGCAAAGCAAAACACTACTGGTAATTTTCCTCTCCATTTTCATTTCTGTCAATTTAAAAATCTCAGAAGTGGTACTAATTTTTTAAGCTAAGCTATTACCTTTCTGGGTCTCGCTGTTAAATATGATGTGACTCCGGTGCTGTCTAGTGAGGCTTGCTAAAAGTAGTAGAGATTAATTCAGTAGCTCTTACATCTTTATCTTTGGAAAACCTGAATATACACATTACACAATTTTCCATATGCTCCAGGAATGTCAGTGTAATTACCAGGGTGTGTAAAGATCCACGTGCTGTTAATCTTTGCAGGAACCAGAGCAACAACCACAGTCACTTGCCCTGAGATATTAATGTTAAAAATAGCTCTATCTATGGGTAAAGAACAAATTTAACATAAATATCTTTGAAAAATGTTCATTTAAGCATTTGTGTGAATGACTGTAGGACTACAGCAGTGGGACATTAGGAAGAGATTATGCTATTACACAAGGATGACTGAATCTTTCTGAAATTGCTTTCATTTTTAAGCCATCATGGAGATTTTTCACAAGTGTGTCTGTAGGCTACAAAATTGCTGAAGCACTTCTAAAGGGAGGAACGGACTAAATAGCAGCAGGGTGTAAATCCTGCTGCCTCAGCTGCAGAGGAAAGTGAAATAAGGCCTGGAACATTTGCATGCAAAGGCCTTGGCATGTGGAACAGGGAAGTCCAGGATCACCTCAGTGGTTTCAGGCAAGTCACTTCAGGCAGATTTCCCCAGAATCATTCACCCCACTCTGAGTGTTCAGTTTTGAGGATGCAGTCCTTGAGACACGGGCATGAACTAACAGCAGTTCCAAGAGAACTCTGCAGCTGACCAAAGGTCAACAGCCCAGACACCAAAAATTTCAGGCCTGGTGAACTTACCTCTTGGGTGCTTCCACTTCCCTGGTAGTAAAAGGTGCAAAATAATACACTAAACCTCTGGGAATTGGGATCATAGGGAACTAACCTTAATAATAAACATTATTTAAGCAAAACCCCAAACCTGTTGCATACTGGAAATGTATGCTTTTGAAAACTTTTCCAACATAGCAATTAAATAGAAATCAACTTACCCCTTTTCCAGAAGAAGCTGCACAAGGACCATGTTCCCACTAGCACACGCAACCATCAAAGGTGTTTTGTAATATCTGTCTTTTATGTCTACTGGCACACCCTCCTCAAATGCCTTCTGCAGGGACACGATGTCTCCTGCCCTGACGAGGTAATTAATATCCATGTACGTTTTCCTTGGCTCCTCCAGGTACCACACACGGTCGTCGTGCACGGGGTGGGCAGAGGGGTGGTCCCGTTTAAATCTCTCCTCAGCGGGAATGTTTGGAAAAGCCTCAACCAGGTACACAGGCAAGCCCTCTTCCCCACGTGGATATTCCCTCTTTGGAATGACACAGACAGGCACAGGGAGGCCTTTTTTGCCTTTTGCTTTCGCCCCTTTCTTCTGCTTCTTCGCTTTGGGCCCAAAGGACGACATGAGAAAGTTTTTCTCCAGGTATTTGGAGCCTTTAAAAAACTCGTCGAGGTCGATCCTGTCAGGGGGCACTTCATGCATTTTGGCAATCGCTTCCATTTCTTCAGCGCCCATCAGGCCCCACCGCTTCTGAATAACAGCTACAAAGTCAGCTCTGGCTACCATCCCATCTTCTTGGAGGAGAGTCTCAAACTCCTTGCGGAGGGACTCCTCGTGCTCCAGGGACCAGTCGTACAGCCTGAGGTACCAGACAGAGGCCTCTTGGTCGGGGGACAACGTTTTCTTAAAGCCCTTTTCAATTTTACGCAAAACTGTTACTGCTGCTTTGAAACCGGCGTTCTTGGCAGCCTCTCGTGGGGTCTGATGTAACAGGTTTTTCCACGTAGGATCACAGCCTAAAATGTGGACACAGTTTAGCTGATAGTGGAGTGGAATTCCTAATTACGTCATGTAAGAAACCTGTGATGTGCAGGCAACTCAGTGCCACAGGTCTGCAATTCTATGCTGTTTTAACTATAAATAGCCATAGTAGATGGAACCACATCATTGATCCCAAACTGGAAGGTCAGCCTCATGTCCATATTTTTTCCCCCCATGGGAGAAGCACTGAGCAACCCATGCTCTCTTTATCCAAGCACTCATGAATATGTATAGAAAGGCAGAAGTTCAGTGGGAACTTTACATTTTTACTTAGAGTGGTGAGCAAGGTTAAGAAGAAACAAAGATGAAAATATCACTCAGTGTTCTATACCCCAAGATTACAATTTGGCAATGGATCACTTTGAATCACAAGAACAGAACATGGGATTTTTCATGGTCCTCTTGAATCAAAGCTGGAAGTGCTGTGGTCATCTGATTAAGTCAGGAAGGGATCACAGCTGCTTTGGAGTTTGCTTCAATACCCATGGGCATGGAGTTTTCCTCCTGACTACGCAGAGGTTTTTGTTTTAAACTGTCAGCAAAGCAAAAATTCATTTTCTGCTGGAAGTTTCAATGAAATACATCTAAAACCAACTAAAACCAGAACTAGTTAATACTGTCCAATACGAAGTTATACAAACCCCTGATGTTTCTGCTGCTTTCTTTGAGAAAAGTTTTCTCACCCACATGAGATAGTAGCCTCTGTCAGGCACTTCTTAATGAGAATCACTTTTACCACGTGGTACCCGAGTGACAAAGTCCTTCAGAGGTGCCCAAATGAAACCTTTCCTTTAGCACAGAAATAGAATACAGATGATAGTTGCAAAGTAACTTATTTTTAATGTACCTCTCTGTCCTATATACTTGCAGCAATCTGCAAATCCTCCCTCTGCGGCGTAGTGAAGTGGCGTGTTGCCATTCATGGCAATCAGTTTCAAGTCTCCATTATAAGCTGAAATAGACTTCAGGATCTAGAAAAGCAAAGTGCCACCATTGATCTTGTCTGTTTGTTAAGGTGGGAAAATGTGAGACCGATTTACAAATAAATGCCGTATGATATATTCCCATTTTACACGGCAAAGTTCTCTCTCTTGTCCAGCTGATCGATGCACATGTAACATTAATGTTTTCTATAGTATTATGCCTATTTAACTGAGGAAACAGAAACCCTTGCCTATCTATTACTGCTGGATTCATGTGGTACTTAAAAAGAAACTGCTTTTGATTGCTGATTATTACGCTTTGATCAGCTGAGATACTGGATTCAACCCCCGCCCCCCCAAGACTTTGCTTTAACACCACAAATGACCATACCTCAAAAAAGCCTCCTTTAGCTGCAAAATGTGCAGCACTGTGTCTTTCAAAGTCAAACAGGTTCACATCAGCTCCTCTGGCCAGCAGAGCACGCACCACCTCAACGACACCTTCCCTTGCAGCCTCCATCACAGCCGTGCGACCCGTGGCCTGCCAGGCAGCAAGAAAACACGTCAGGATTTGTTCCTTGTGCGAATCCAGGCTGGAATGATGTGATCTGATTGTTGCAAGGTGGCATAAATCTGAAAGTCTCCTCTTAGCTCTTACTGGGAAAAGGAGACAAGTCTGATAGTTTCAAAGACACTGCAGGTAAGCTTTAAGAATCAAGTCATGGTGCTGCTAAGGTATGAGTAGTCAAATCCCAGCAACTTGAGTACACTGGTAGCTTGAGTGCCTTGAACAGTGCCCATGAAAATCAATTCCTTAGTTAAGGAATCCTTCATTCTGTGTGCATGTTCTCATGCGTATTTACAAAATACCACTTCAGCTTATGAAGTAGGGAGCAATGGCTGGAGGAGTGCCATGGGGAAGGCAGAGCAACCAGGGGATTTCAGTGCTGTTCTGTGGGGAAAAGTTCACACTCTAACACATTAATGATTTATCTTTTTCTAGATAATGATGTGTAGATGTATGTCTGTGTTTAGCAGAACCTATTTTCTTTACAATGGCTGACTTTGGCAGATCTGGTGACCTTCCCAAAACCACAGCACATCTTGGCTGAGGGATCACCTGCTATTATCACTTTGGCCCGCAGCAATACGTGCCACTCCAGAGAGGGGCAAAGAGAGCAGTGATCCATGGATTTTGTTCCACTGAACCAAACATTCTTCCCTGATATCTGTCCTTGCCAGCCTAGCAAACCGTTCCTATTATATGACCAGGACACTGCAAAAACAGAACCAAAGCAAAAGCTTTGGATAACATAAAGGAAAAGCTCGATCTTCTTATCAACAGAGCTTCAGTCCTTCAGATCTTTCTTAAATTAAGGAATCAAACAAGTAAGTCATTAAGACATACAAAAGAGAGAGAAGTTTCTAATTTCTCATCCCTGCCTTGATTCCCCATCAGGCTGTTCCTGGCTGGACTCACCTTTTAGTGAATATTATTTGAACCCAGAAAACTTAAGGGCACATTGAGGCAAAGTACAAATCAGCACTGCTCCACTGAAGTACAATGAACTGCAGTTTCTAGGAGCTGGCCCAGTTCCAGCTTGGTTTTGTGAAATATTTGCACAAAATCTAAATCGGGATACATGGATCCAGGAGACAACTTAAATCCCTCTCCTCCAAAAGAAGGGTGGTCCAGAAGATGGGAATAGGCATGGCCACAGAGTTGAGCCCTTCTCACTGCTTAATTACTTAATGTGAGGATTTAAGGTCACCAGTCAGCTGGTTATTATTCTATGTTCCTGTGTGTGTTCTTAGTTACAGAAATACTCATACCGGGTCTCTTGCATGGGGACTCGCTCCTCTCTCCAGGAAAGCCAGGCACATTTCTTTAATCTCATGAGCTTGCTCACAGGCTTGCAGCAGCACAGACCTCCCCTCAGTGGTGCAGTTGTTCACATCTGCACCGTGTTCCAGGGCAATCTGCATGCAGTGGAAGTGCCGCCTTGTAGGTGAAAGGCAGTAGAACAAAATACCTGGGGAGCAAATCGGAATTTAGTATTTGGCAGGTCCTGAGAGGAAAGTGATTCTCAGTCACAAGTTACCTCTCTGCTGTGTACTGGGGGAGACCTGTGATTTAAAGGCCTACAGTGTTCAGGGGGAGTTATTTCCATCTCCACCAAAGCTGTTGTGGCCAGTGGCTTCTGTTGGGCTGTAAGGATTACCCTCAACCCCAGCTTCTCTCTACAGGTGGGGCACAACATGGGTGGTGTGTAGAGCATTCAGAGATTGTTTTATGGTATTCCTGCTCTGACAGGGCTCCCTCTCGCTCACCTTTCCCTTCATTATCCACAGCAGTCATGTCTGCATTAGCTTTTGCTAATAACTCCAAAACCACCTCGTGGCCCAGCTCAGCTGCCCTCATGGCTGGAGTGCGTCCCATGGCGTCGTGGACATTGGGATGAGCTCCCTGTTCCAGCAGGAAGCGGCACATTTCAGTGTCATTTTTCATGGAGGCCAAGTGAAAGGCACTGTATCCTTCCTTAGGCTCTGTGTAATTGATGAGGTTTGGGAATCCCTTCTGGACCAGCTTTTCTATTTGTTTCTTGTCTTTCTGGTGAACGCACTGAAGAAGTTTGTAGATCTGTAAATTTAGAAGTCTTCTATCTACGGGGAACATCCTGGAATAAGGAAAATTGTCTTCTTTCAAGGAAGTAATTTCTGCATGGGGAGAGAAGAGAGAACATGTAATCCAGGGATGAGAGATTATAATTACATGCCAGTAAGACCAGGAATCAAACTATGTTCACAGCATGAAGATATCCACTTTATCTTGACAGAACAGTAAGCTTTAATTTAATTACCTTTTATTATAAATAGCATATATAGAGACTATATAAACCCATGTAGCACCTTGCTAAATTTTTCTTTCTAGTCTTCTAACTGTTCTGAAGAAGTCTCTTTCAAGGAGAAAATTAAGGAACTGTAGAGTAACTGCTTTCCATTCTAGGAACTGTTATAATCTACAATTACTTGGAAGCCTAAGGGGAGGCTGATCACCTGTCATTTTCAAAGGGAAAATAATCACACAGTGTCCTCTGTACTTGCTGAAACATAAAATTGGTACTAAAATTGATACTAAACCCACCTCACCAGTACCTGAGCACCTTTTTTTTTTTTGGTAGCTGATGCATGACCTTCCTGCCAGGCTACGTACATAAAAGAGTAAGTTGAATTTCTCTGCAGCAAAACCTTGGGGGAAAAAAAGATGCAGAGAGTGGGGCACTGGCCTGGGAAAAAGTTCCCCCAGGTGAAGCAACACCTGCTTCTTGAGAAAAATGCAGTGCTGGAAACCAGCTTTGATTTGTCTCAATTCTGGGTTTGTTGTTTTTTTTAAAAGTTTTTTTAGCCTCTTTTAGCTACTCCCAGCACATGTGGCTGGAGAGTCAGGGATGGGTCAGGCATTATAAGGACCACTTCTGAAGCTTGCCTAAGTGGATGGGAAGCTTCCTATCAGCTTCAGCAAGCCTTGGGGGGTCAGCCCATCCTCCCAAACTCTTACAAGACATGCAACAAAAAAAGGTGGAGGAACAGTGTCTTATTAGGGAATAGCTGGGTTTTGGTTTGCTTTCTGTTTAGGTCTTACACAACCCTCGTTCTGATCATGTACACAAAGTATATTCTTACACTGCACAATGAAATCATTAGGTAGCAATAACTTAAATCTGCCGCCTGTGGCTTGTTCATTTTCACCCCTACCATGTTATGCCTCTTCTGGAATTTTATCCAGTGACAGGGAATAAATGCAGAGGTTTTTATTCTGCTGACAAGGGTTACAGCTATAGCAGCACTGTAGTCCTAAAGTTTAGAGCTGAGAAATGAGGCTGCTTCAGAGCAACGCCCTGACAGAACAGAACACCAGAGTCCCCTACAGAGCCTGGCTTTTAGAGCCTGAGATGTTAGGAAGTTATTGCTGAGCAAATCCTCAATACAGGAAGGGTTTTTTCTGGCTTCTGAGCACAGGGAAGGTTGTGATGTAAACTCTGCAGGGGCCTTGAGGAGGAGCAGCAGGAAGGTACTGCAGGGAAGGCTCTTACAGTACTTAGACCACTGAAATTCAGAAAAGAAATGTTTTTTAAAGATACTTAGATGGAGCTGACAAACTTAAATGCTCTCTCTTGTTCTTGTTCCATTTCCCACCACCCTGCAGCACTAAGGAACTTCCAAGAACTAGACCCCTTCTTCCCAGTATTCATTATTTGCATCTGGAATTCGCACAACATTTTTTCAGGAGCTCATTTAAGACCAAACCTTGCTTTTTCTTCCCTTCTTTCTCCCCCATGGAAGTAGGTTAGTAATTCCACAGAACATGAGCAGAACTGCAGCTGGCAAAAACCTGCTAGGAGCATTCCATGAAGGCACAAGTGGATATAATGTTCACTGCAAATGGATTTGGATTTATTTTATGGATTATCCTTGAGATTCAGGACAGTGCCAGTGCTGCCCCTTGCACAAATGTTACACTCAGTCTCTGGTGTGAAAGCATCCAGAATTAGCCAGGATGCCGTGTTTTCCAAAGAGAAATCAGTGAAAGTGAAATAAGTAATACTTGCTCCCTACAACCTGTGCCCCATGCAGGACATGAGACTGACAGCACTCCTCACACTTCCTGCACACTTTTTTGCTCATAGGATAATGCACAGTCCATTACAATTCTAGTCCAAATTCAGCCTGATTAGTTTTTTTTCTGGTGCTTTTGAGATGCTTATCACAGTATTATTTTAATACTTCACATAGGGATAAAATTACTTCCATAAACATAAGTGAAATTATTTTTATCACAACAGTGAAGTCTGTTGTTATCACAATTCAGCCACCAGTGAGACCCTACTCAGTTTAAAGTCTTTGCTTCAAAGCATTAAGAACCAACAATTTACATGAAAGCAACCGGAACATTTTAAGTGTGACAGTTAAGATTTCTTTGCAGTATTTCTGGAAAGTGACTGGATCAAGGTTTGTGGGAAGTCTCCACAGAAGCAGAGTCAAAGTAAGACAGGTGGAATAGAAAACTCTATCCAGTGTCAGATGAAGTTACAATTATATTATTCAGGTGTCTAAAGTGTAAGTATAAGCACAGATCTTGCAAATCTTCATTAGGCAATACTACCACCAATACATATTCCATAGATTTTTTTAATCACTTAATCTGTAACAGATGTTTTTATGGAAAATGAGGCATTATTAGTGTGGCTTTGAGACAGTCCTGCTCTGGGGAGGGCTTCATGAAGTCATAATCTTAAATCCCAGGCCTTTAAGATCTGCTTATCAACAATTTTATCTCTTGACAAACATCAACAGGCTCGCTACCTTCATTCTGCCAGCTTGTATCATCATTTTGGATGAGAGCATGAACACATTTCAAATCCAGATTAATGCTTTTTCCAGCATACCTAGTATTTAAAAAATCATTTTATTCAGATTCCTGTTTTTCCCACAAAGCTTTCCAAGGTGTGGTCGAGGTACACTGACAGAGAGGGGAGTTCTCATGCCCAGAGCTCTCACTTTCTGACTCTTGTCAAGGCCTGGTGCCCAACTGCTGCTGGAAGCACTTGTCACTCCTTCTTAAAACTTTGCAGCATTTTTCAGTTTCAACATTTCAAGTTGAAAACATCCTTTTAATTATCACCATTCACAAACCAGTAAACAAAATTTTCACGTGTTTTATCTTTAGTGAGGGAAAATAGCTGAGCACTTGCTAAATTTAATCCCTTTGCATGCTGGCCACAGAGATAAGCATGAGCCCTATATGTCAGTATAAAAGGAACCAATATGGTAACAGTGCCACACTATATTTACAGCTTCATAAGAATAATTGCACTGGATTTTTGGCTGTGACTAATGTTTAATGGGAGTGATGCAGCAAAATATGTCTAAAACTGAATTCCAATATCATGAATTGGCCTATCATGTTGGTGTTAATTCTCCAGAAATGCTTTGCCTGGGGCTGAGGAACAGCTGAGGGCTGAGTGACTGGCACTTCCCATCAGGTTCCAGCCCAGATCCAGCCCTGTGGGAAACAGAGCCCAGTCCTGAGCTCCGTAAAGGCGGTCCCGAGGTTGTGGCTGGGTTAGACCGAAACATGTGCATCGTGTTGTCTCCAGTTTGCCTTGCAACTTCCAGTCCCTCAGCGTTCATCCAAACTGGGATGTACTATTGCCCAGCAGCCCTGGGGCCAGCCAGCACCTGGCAATCAGGTGTATGAGCAACACCTGCCGGGACAGGGGCTGAGGGGAGGTGGCTCCTCAGCCAGGAGCAGAGCCGGGCTCCAGGCACGCTCCTGGATTGCTGGGGAGTTGGGAATGAGGTGCTGCTGCACCCAGGAGCGAGGAACAGGGTGAGCAGCTGCTCCTGCCCAGGGCCCTGGAGAAGCCAGGTAAGGGATAAATCTGGCGTTGGTTGATTTTCCTCGGGCTGCCACTCGGAGGAACGGGTGGCCTGTGGAGGAGACTGGCTTTAACGGGAGGGAAACTGCTGGAAAGGGAGGATGCTGGAGAGCTGGAGTTGACCCACGCGGTGTTACGTGCCAAGGACTCGCTCCTGTGTCCGTGCAGACACACTAACTGAGGTGACTGCGGGGGCGATGTCCAGCGGGGGGGATTTCCTTTAGAAACGGTGAAGCACAGCGGCTCTGTGCAGCGCGGGTCCCCCTCCTGCGAGACTGCGCTCAGCCCTCACAGCCCGCCGGCTCCGTCACAACCCTTCCGCAGCGCTGGGGAGGCGGCGGCCCCCGCCCCGCCGCCCCCTCACCACCAAGCCCGGCAGGGGCTGCTCCCCTCGGCAGCGCCGGGCACTCACCTGAGGAGCCGCGGGGCTCCGAGAGCCCGGGGCCGGCCGGACCCCCGCCCGCCTCCGCGCCCGCCATGGCCGCCATGGCCGTCTCCTTGGCAACGGCGTCGCGCGGGCGCCAGCCGTGAGGCGGCGGGTCCCTGAGCCGCGGCCGGTCCTCTCGGTCCCCTCAGTTCCACCGAGTCCCCTCGTCTCCGGCGAGTCCCCTCAGAACCACCGGATCCCCTTTCGGCGCCACCGGGTCCCCTCAGTTCCGCCAGGTCCCCTCAGCCGGTGGGTCGCCTCAGCGCCGTCGGGTCCCCTCAGCTCGGTACGGAGCGGCCCTGCGCCGCCGTGGGTGAGGCGGCCACACGGGCAAGGAGTTGGGTGTCGTGGCCTTTGCTGTCTTATTGCCGACTTACTTGCCAAACCTTACTTGCCACACTAAATTTTATTAAGAGTCACTGCAAAAGCGGAGCGGCAAGGTCTGTGTATAACCCAACCGCACAGCCGTCCCCACAGGGTTTGTGTGGCACAATAATATAAGTGAGCTGTGTTAGACTTGAATAGAAACATAATCGTTCACAGTCCGGGCTGGAAGGAGAAACCTGTTTATTAACAGGAGAAGAATGTCAACGAATGGGGGAAAATGCTCAAAACTGTTCAAGTGGAGCCTGAGTCATTCTAGAAGGCAACAGCAGTAACGTTGGGACTGCCCAGGCCCTCTGTATTTCTTTTCTCTCAATTCCCCTTAGTGCCTAATTTCAGATGCCGCAGCCCAGCCCTCAGTGCTCCTGTCAGGGTCAGTAATTGTTATGGGATAACTGCAGTGAGACTCTTTGTCGTGTTCCTATCCGAGTTTGGCCATTGAATCATTTGCAAATCACCTCTAGCATTAGGAAATTCAACAAAAATTGTTTTTTGATGTGAAATCTCTTCTGCCAGGGAAGTGGTGACGCGCAGCTGGATCCATGTCCAACAGCATGGAGAGGCGGGTGATGAAAGCCCTGGGACTGTGTGGTGAGTCACAACAAGAGAAAAACATCATTTTAGCATAAAGTATTTCATTATTTACCCTGCAAGGAGTGCCATTTGTACAGTAGCTATTTTGTGTTAGCACTTTGTTATGCGAATTGGCTGGATTGTTAGTCTTGCACTGTTCTGCCTTGGTAGATTGCTTTCCTCTTTGGAAAATAGAGCATCCAGGCCCTTCTCTTTTTCCTTGGTCACACTAAATGGATGATGTGAGCATGGCACACCAGAAGATGTTCCCCTGCTGGTTCTGTGTAGAATTTGTGCTTTTGCTGTTGCCATAGATAAGGAAACACATGTGTATTGGCCTAAGCAAGGCCCAGGGTAAGTTACCTTTTTTCGCTTTGTAGAACAGCACACATTAAATGCCCATTAGAAAAGCTAGCACACGTATTCTGAAATTTAGCTCAACGTGAAAATAAACAAAGATCCCGTCTGAAACACCTGCATAATTTGACTCTGGAAACTGTGAGAACATATGAAGCAGATTGTAACAAGTGTGGGTACTTGGTAGTCACCTCAAGTGTGAATGTACATGTAACTGCATGTGTATACATTTAGATTTCTGTGCTTGGTTTATTTTGTCATGGTGATCCGCTTTCCATGAGCTTTTTGAGAGTCACAATAAGGACTCATGATGCAAGAAGCAAACCACCCTTTTTCAGCAGCTGAACATCATATTGGATGTTTCAAAGCAATGTGGTTTCAAGAGCAGAGGTGCTGCTCTGGTATTAGGGTACTGCAACATATCCAAAATAAATAGGATCTAAATCCTACAAGAGAAATTCACAGTATTTCCTGCCTTCAGAGATGAAGTTCACAAGAGAAAATTATTCCAAGGTCTGAAGCCTCGAGCTGTTGGGCTCTTTTTGGCTGACAGCTCAGTTTTGGAGGAGTGCCAAGCTAATGCAGGAATGCAAGTGGGATGGTGCTGGTAAAAATGTAACTGACTGCTGAGGAAAGAAAGGTGTGAACTGCCCAGAGCTTTAAACATACCCCAGAGATTACATGGAGCTCCCAAAGCCAAACCTGGGAATCAGAGCACAGAAGCGGACACAGTGTTCAGGTGGTCTGGTACAGACCCAGGTGTCTGCACTACCTGAGTCTGAGGGCAGGGCTGCCCAGAGGTCTGACGGGGTAGGGATTGCACCTGAAAACATTTCACTGATAAACCGGTGGTTCCAAGAATTTAAATACAAAGGCTGTGAGGTTTTTTTTGGTGCCAGCAGAGCACTACACAGTCTCTCCATGGAACAAGTGAAACAATATAGCTGTCATTGCAGTTGTTGCCTCTGTATTGTGCTGGAGGGGTTTTTCTGTGGGTGTAAAAGCATAAGGATGGTACAAATGTCCCACAGCCGACCTCTGGAGGGAGGCTGTGCACCACCAGGACTCTTATGATGGTTGGCACTGGAGTCCTGCTAACAGCAGTGGGAGCTGGGCTGATGATGGCCTGACTTCAGCTGCAAAGTGTGTTTGAGGGTTGCATGGTTTTTGCTTAAGCCTTTTCCTATGCAAGTAATTATCACTGTTATTCATCTCTCTGGATTCTGATGCCGCTGCAAAAAAATCTGCTGTGGGGTGCATTCTACCTTATTCAGGTTTGCCAGCTTGGGAGAATGACACAAATTTACACATTTGGCTAATTCTGAAGGTCATCTGGACTGTTTCAGCTCACCGTGAGTTACACTGAGGGAGCACCAGATGAAATCAGGATGTCGATGTTGCGAAGTGTCAATACACTTCCCTGCCTTGCCCAGCCATAGCACTGCAGTGGGAGTGAAGTGCAGCTGTTTTGGGGGTGTAACTGCACCCTCTCAAGTCAGGGCAATAGTCTCCTTTTTGAAAGAACAAGGAACTTGTGGGGATGATCTTCGTTTCATGCAGCAGCACAGCCACCTCAGAACTGTGCTGGGAGGTACCACCTTGTGTTATATGTGTCTTTCCTGGGCTGCGCTGTCTCTGGTTTTGGTGCTGCTCTATGAAGCTGTTAACATCAACTCAGATCAACACACAACCTGCTAAACTGATTTTGCTTAACTTGTTTGCTCTTCTTTATAGTCTTTCTGTGTTTACTGTCAAAAACAGTGTTCATTCTTTTCTACCAATTAATATGCACCCTTAGAAATAAACCTTTGCATAGAAGGGAAAGTCCATGAAATAACTTTTAGCTCCATGATACTGTGTATCAGGGAGAAGAGACCTGGGGGAAAGCTGTGCCTCCTTTGGGGTGGTTGTTTTCAAGGGAAAAATTAATTTTTTCCCCATCACCATTTCCTATGAGGGTCTCTTTCCTATTCAGCCCAAGGATTCTAAAATCATTCCCACTACCTTTTTTTAATCTTGTTTACTTGTCTAACACTGTGCCTTGGAACACACATAACTCAGTGGGAGGACTCCAGATGACTTTCAGTGGGTTGTTCTGTTAATAATTGAATCTCTGACTCTCTCTTGATTAGTTATTTATATGCAGATCATATTAAAAAGCTGAAGGGAAAGAAGAAAGATAGTAGTGTTATATCTGGTTTTCACTTAGCTGCTATTCTGATGGGTTAGACAGAGATTAAAACACAAACTTTATTTGTCCCACTGGTTCTCATCCAGCCTGTCACTGTACCCTCTTTAAAATCCTGTGCACTGCAAGTTCTCAGTTTGCAAGGTGAAAGAATAGATGTTCTGGAGCCTTGCTCATCTGATGTTACAGGAGGCTACTGAAATATTGATCACTTCACCCTGCACACAGCAAATAAAGGAGGAATTTTCAATTGGAAGTTGTTTTGTGCCTGCAAGGCAGATCTGGTGGTGCTGGCTCTGAGCAACTCAGTGCAGTAGCTTTAAGAAATGTAAACAGAAGGGAGACAGTGCAGTGGGAAGTGACTCTGTTTTTGAGGCACAGAGAAGCTCCTGTACCCTGGGCCTGATGGAGAAACATCTGGGTTTCAAAGCTGCTTGGGGAGTTCAGTGCTACTTGCTGTGAAGAAGGGTAATCTGCACTAAGAACAGATAAGAGCATGAAAGCAATGCTTCCCCAGTAATGTAAGGCCGCTGAAATCCCTGAGGTCAAGCAGGGAGAATTCCTATACAAGAAATCCATTGGTTCAGTTGGAATAAGCCTTGCTGCTGTTCCCTTGCTTGGCCTTGCTCAGTTGTGGTTAAATGAGGAGAGGGATGATAATCATCTGATTATCTTGCTGTGGAACAGTTGGGAGCCCAGGCTTGTCCTCTTGCCAGTGCCAGCTCCAGGGAGGGGTCCAGCATTTGGAAAGAGAAGTAACACATTCCACAATCTCCAGCAGGTGCAGTGGCTGTTCCACTGCTGAGCGTACCAGGAGAGAACCTGGAATAGCTCATCCCACCTGTGTTCCTGACTTAGACTGCTCAATTAACCCACCAGGGGAGAGCATGAACTTTTCTCAGTAATAATCAAACATAATAGAAATGACTTCTAGGTATAAGATGCAATTTTTGGTTGAGACCAAAAAGTCAACCATGTCATCTTACAGCAGAGTCTTTGGTTTGATATATGGGAGAGCTGCACAGGGGAGGCTGAAGCTCCACGCTCCTGCCCTGTATCTACCAGTGTCACCACAGTTGATTCCAGCTGTTCTGGGATCTTTTGGTCCCAGAGTTCTTGGATTTTGTGCCATGCCACAATCAAGCCAAATTCAAAATTGTATATGTGTAAACCAGGAATCTTTTCCACAACAATTAGTAGGAGACTGCTAATGAAGCCACCATGCTCAATTACTCTCATAGATAAAAGTTGCTAAAGTTTCCTTGTTCTTGTTAATAGATACCTTTTTCATCAGATCCTATTCCTTATAATGTAGCAAAACCAGAGCTCCAGGCTGAATATGTTTTTTCTGAGCTCCAAGAATACTCATATCTGTCACCTTAGGTTAACACATTGATTAATCCAGACGTCAGATAAAATATAGAGTTTATTTAGGATTAAATACTCATTTATAAATAAATGGAATACGTGACTTATTTTCTGAAGTGTTTGATATGTTGGCTTTGCTACAGATTTGTTCAGAACACCTGAAAAAGGACTGACCTGTAGTTAGCCAAGACAGTTCCCATATTACAACATTATTATTCACAGTACCATAGAATGGTTTGGGTTGGAAGGGACCTTAAAGATCTTCCATTTCCAAACTCCTTGCCACGGGCAGGGACACCCCTCTCTAGACGAGGTTGCTCAGAGCTTTGACACTTTGGCTACAGCCACTTAACTCCACTCAAAGTATTTCAGGGTCTGTTGCTCATTCCTAGCTTTTCCATAACCTCTCCCTATCACCTCTAAATAAGTGGCTGCTCAGGTTTCTACAGCTAAGATCTTTTCCTCTCTGCTGGAATGACATCAGGTGTACAGTTGCCCTGTAGGATGTGCTCCATTTTGTCTGCATCGTGTCTGTAACACAACACCCTGCTATTGCAGTAGAAAAAGCTGCATTTCCTAGGCAATACCTAAAGCAGTGTAAGTGGCCTTTTCTTTTTTCCACACAGGAGAGATAAAGTTAGCTAGAGAAATGATTTCATTTTACACAGGGTCCTGTGTGTTTTCCCCAGTGAATCAGTGACAGTTGTTTGACTAGGGAGACCCTCCAAAGCTTGTATTGGTTAACTGGTGTCCCTTATAATGCCTGGGAGCATTAAATTCATCTCTGAATTTCACATTTTAAAAACTGCCTCACCCAAGTAGGCTATGCAAGTTTGACTTTACTCAGAGCATAAGACAAAACAGAATCCATCACAACAGTGGGGAATAAAGCACACACAAACACAAGTGCCTTTTCCTTCAGCTTTGCCACCATGTAACGTGCCTTGGGTGCAGGAGATGTTAAAGCATCTACCATGGCATCCACAACCTCGTGGCCATTAGTGCTTCCTTCACTGAGAATGCTGTTGAAGAAGTTTGCCCTCTCCTGAACGTACTCCTTGTTGTAAACAGCCTTTTCCTCTTCGCTGAGTTCGCTCCAGATCTC